TCAAAGAGAGAAGCAGCGTGGAACTAAGGAGAAACTTCCTAACAGTGAGTATAATTAATCAGTTAAACAGCTTGCCTTCAGAAATTGTGAGTGCTCCATCACTGGAGATTTTTAAGAAGAGACTGAACAGTCACTTGTGTGAAATGATATAACTTGTAAATGATAATTATAAATGATATAGCTGAAATGAAATAGATATTTCAAGGTCCTCTTCTACTCTACTCTACTCTACTCTACTCTACTCTACTCTACTCTACTCTATATTCTATTCCATTCCATTCCATTCCATTCCATTCCATTCTTGCCGCTAGGTTAAACCCAGATGTCTGTATGAAATTATCGGGAGTCAAACTCAAGTGAGATATCACTTACTTTTAATTGAATTATGAGACTGTACTTTTACAACAGCTCCTGCAAGTTTGTTTTGTTTTCGGTGGATTTTATCATAATTTCATCTGTCTTATGCTCATTTTGCTGCCTTCATGGTAATCTATTGTTTTACTCAGGTTTATGGTTTGTTACATTATAAAATGTAATGGCTTTTTTTAATTGGCCTTTGTTTTCTAAACCACCTTAATTATTTTGCACATGAACAGAAACGGAAAATGGAATTAGGAACATAGAAATTTAAGAAGCTACTTAATACCAAGTTGGTTCATTGTTTCGCTGGGCTCAATATTGCATAATACTTTAGAACTCAAGCAGACCTTTATAATTTTCAGCAAAATCCCCATTTTCCATGGAAATCTAAATTCTCTGACCCAAGAGGATTGTGATGAAGAAAGAAATCAATACATAAGACAACAGGAAAGAAAACTCTTAGTAAGAGTTTAAGTGCCCTAGATATTTCAAATTTCAAACCTAAATGAGTGAACTTTCATCATATATTGTATATATGTATTTGTACGTAAGCCCATGTATGTGTGCATTCATATTCATCTTAAATTTGTGTGTCTCGGAATCTTCTTCAGCTTCCAAGAAGCTTTGGTCAGGGATTTGGTGGATCCAAATTTAAGCCATCACAATCTCATCCCCCTAATCTACTGCATAATACTGGTGGCTGTAAGAAATATACTGTCTTGAACTTTCAGGGCAAGGCAAATATGTAACTGCAAAAAAAATAATAAGGAAGGAAGCATCTAGAGGTAAGGTAAAGGTAAAGGTTCCCCTTGCACATGCGTGCTACTTGTTTCTGGCTCTAGGGGGCGGTGCTCATCTCTGTTTCAAAGCCGAAGAGCCAGCGCGGTTCGAAGACGTCTCTGTGATCATGTGGCCAGCATGACTAAATGCCAAAGGCGCACGGAACGCTGTTACCTTCCCACCAAAGCTGGTCCCTATTTTTCTACTTGCATTTTTTACATGCTTTCAAATTGCTAGGTTGGCAGAAGCTGGGACAAGGAACGGGAGCTCACTCCGTTACGTGGTGCTAGGGATTCAAACTGCTGAACTGCTGACCTTCTGATCGCCAATCTCAGTGTCTTAGCCACTGAGCCACCGCATCCCTTCATCTAGAGGTAGACAGTGTGAAAAACTGGGACAGGTTGGGCCATATTTATACTGTATGATCAGAACTGGTTTTTCCTGTGCAGAATGCAGAGAAGACTAAGGAAGACAAATAGGGGGCTGGAGGCTGAAACAAACAATTGGGTGTGTCTAGTTTAATGAAAAGAAGGACTAGAGATGATCCGATAGCAATCTTCCAATATTTGAGGGGCTGCACAAAGAAGAAGGGGTCAAACTATTTTCCAAAGTACCAAAAGACAAGACAAGAAACAATGCTCGGAAAGAAATTGAGGAGAGAAACAACCTAGAACTAAGGAGAAATTTCCTCACCAGTGAGAACAATCAAGTAATGGAATAGTTTTCCTTCAAAAGTTGTGGGTGCTCCATCACTGGAGGCTTTTAAGAAGAGCTTGGACAGCTATTTGTCTGAAATGGTGTAGGATCTCCTGCTTTAGCAGGGAATTGGATTAGAAAACCTCCAAGGTCCCTTCCAACTCTGTTATTCAATACCATATTCTATTATGTTTTTTTATTGGTAACACAGAGTAGGAACCTGCTCCTGCTTGGACTTGGATTTTGAAAGGGTCATCAAAGGTGCCAGCTTGGTTTTGATGCTTACCCAGAGTATACATTATTTAAAATCAAGCATTTTATACAATTGCATCTTCCTCTGTAGATTATTTTGCTGAATGAATGGGCTCTACATGCCTGTTGCTATGCTCAGCAGAGTCTTTTTAAAAAAATTGAACTTCTCATCTTATTCCTCCTGCAAGAAAGCTGAGTTCTCAACTTACAACTGTAATTGTAATTATGAGCCACAGTGGCGCAGTGGTTAGAGTGCAGTACTGCAGGCTACTTCTGCTGACTTCCGCTGACTGCAGTTTGGCAATTCAAATCTTACCAGGCTCAAGGTTGACTCAGCCTTCCATCCTTCTGAGGTGGGTAAAATGAGGACCCAAAATTGTTGGAGGCAATAGGCTGACTCCAGGAGTGAGTTCTACTTACCTTTACTACTGGTTTGCAATGGGGCCACGTGCGCGCATGCACAGAAGCTTCTACGCATTCGCAAAAGCATCCTGATGATGTTGGAGTTGGTGGGTGAAGCCTCCCACCAGTTTTACTACCAGTTCTTGTGAACTGGTCCGAATCGGGGGCAATCCACCACTGGCTGACTCTGTAAATCGCTTAGAGAGTGTTGTAAATGTTGTGACCTAGAATTACTAAGTAATTACAATACACAATTAGTCCCAAACAACCTATTTTATTGTAACAGCTGAGAATTATGTTCATTCCCAGCTAAGTCCCAATTAGTTGCAAAACAAGTCCTTCAGAAGAAGTCCTTAGGGATAATCACCAACCTTTATCTTCTTTGACACCCTGCCAAAGGTCTTACTTGGCAAAGCCCCACAAAGTTCAGAAACAAACAAGAGATGCCAACTGGAAACAGAGTTAGCAATGTTGCTTTCCTGCAAAAGGCCCCAAGTGCCTCTGTTTCTCACTTAAGCCTTATGGGAGGGCCCAATCATCTCCTGGCCTTACTCTCAAGTCGTCCCTTTTGCTTTAACTGCTCTTGCCTTCTAACACCTCTGAGCATGTGTGCACTAGGAACAGGCTACTCCTGTTCCTCTGCCTCTCTGCTGTCCAACTCTGGGGGCTCCGGAGTCCGTGCATCACTCCCAGATGGCCCTGGCCCCATCTCTACCTCCGATGCAGAGCCCTCATCCGGGCCTTCTCCAGACTCCAGGACAGGCCCATGTTCCTCTCCAGCCTCCTCACTGTCCAACTCCTCTGCCAGCTCCCCAGGCTGCTGGCGGACCGCAACAGTAAAGCACTGTCAAGCGGTATATAAGTCTAAATGCTATTGTTATTGCTATTGAGCCTAGAATTACAATCATAAGTTGTATGGGTTATTAAGCAGGCTGTCATGTGACTGACACAATTTTATGACATTTTTATGGCAGCAAATGTCACAATTGTTAAGTGAATCTGTTGTTTGCAATGGGCTTTTTTTTTCTTTCTTTTCTTTTCTTTTTTTTTTGTGGAAAGCAGAAGTAAACACCAGGTTCCCACAAAAAAAAAACCATTCTAAATAACTGTGGAATGTTGTAAACAGCATTAGTACTGTTACACAACAGTAAATGTGGATTGTTTACAGGGTGCCCAAAGATGTGATCACATGACCAGGGGGATTTCAAAACATCTGGGTTGTAAGTATCTTGTTTAGGGTCCATCATAACCTCAAACAGTCACTAAGTGGCCAGTTGTGCTATTTACAATAAGCCTAGAAGGTCTGTCTTAGGCCTCCAAACAACCAGGCTAGAAGTAAATACAGTAGATAAAAAACCTCCAACTATGGCAGTCAATATGTCTATATGCTTCACACAAATGAGAAGGATGCTCTCCTACCACATTGTGGAGAGCAATACACCCAAATCCAGCATAAGTGTGAAGTAAACCTGACATAGAATTAGAAAGGAAACCCATAATCATAAAAGATATTAAGATGTTGATGGAATATGCCTCTACACAAGCTCTAAAGCATTGTCCTGTTCAATCCAAAATGCTTCACAACCATAGAACCCAACTAGTGCTTTGACGACACAACCACAGCCTTATCCTTTTGACATATATGACATGAGTGTGACGAACACCTTGAGGGTTTTTGGTTTTGACCACCCACTCCCATGTGCACCCTCCAGCCACACAATCTAGGATTCTGTCCATCAATGCATCTATTTCTCATCTCCTGAAAATATAGTTAACTAATTTAAACACCATGTCAGGGTTCCAAGTAACTCCCCGCAACGAAAGAAGACTCTGAGGCTAAGCGTTCCTCAAAGAGGAGGTGTCATATTAGAGATGACATATTGGCACATCTGGGGAAACCCGAATCTGAAAGCTTCTAGGTTTTCCCCATCCAGAAGAAAGTCCAAGTCCCTGCCCAGCACCAACATGTCCATCACATGGTCCAATCAATGCACCATCCCAACTGGAGATGCCTCCCAGTCACACCCCTCCAGGTGCAGGGCAAGATGTCCTTGACTCCCAGAGAAAGGAATGTTATTATGGCTACATATCTCCCCTGCTCCATACAATCTCCCCTCCCAGTTTCCCACAGCACTAAATATGGCAGGCCTGAAGATCCAATGGAAAGATGGCTTTCAGGCCTGAAACACAGGTTTAGACAAAATTCATTCCTTCATGCAATACAGCAGAAGACACCCAGGTCCTGGTAAAACCTCTGTCTTATCAAAATCCTGCTGAAATCCACGCTGTTAAAAAATCACACCCAGGAAGGACATGGAGACTGGCTGAAATTTACCCTGAATCAAATCTGAGTCGAAATTCATCAAATATTCGTTTCCGCTATGAAGGTGAGGCCATTCCATTAGGTTCCTAAAATGAACACCAGGCCCAGGACTCTTGTCAGCTTTGGAAAACGAATAGTATATTTTAAAGGAGAAAGTTGGAAAAATAAAACGAAAAAACCTACTTACGGTGGCTGTGCCTGAGACAGTTTGTGCATTTGTGTCACTTGTGTTTGGTTCGGAGTGCGTCTGCGCAGGTGGGTACAGATTTAACGTGTGCTCTGTAACCGTGGTTTGCCCGGAGTAGTCGGGGGTCGGGTGAGGATGGGGGCCGGTGTAGTCTCCTGGGATGCCGTTTTGAGGAGGAGCAAACTGGGCGGAGGCGTAAGGCTGGGCCATCGTTTCAGGAGGTGCAGTGGCTTCCTGATTACCCTGTGGAAACACGAAACAACGGGAGAGAAAATTGAGCGGGATTTGGCTTTGCAAAGATTTATGCGTCTTTGAAGGTGCTTCATCACATTTCTGTCCAGCTGCTCTTCCTGCTGGGACCTCACTAGAAGGTCCATTAGTCATCCATCTGCAGGAAGGAGCTGAACTGCTACTGGTTTTACTCACAAATAAGGTTTCCTGGGGAATCTACACAACTTTTTAACTCAGCATCTTTGGGTTTTTTTTCCTCAGCCCAATCTAGCGGTAAAATAACATCATTCCAATAATCATCATGCAACCATCACTGCACTGTCCTTAGGAGCAAAATTGTGTTTGTCTCTGTTTATGATAGAGGTGGGGTTTACGGAACAGCCCAAAGGAAGTTTGCTGGCAGTTGTATAAGATTGCAGTTAAATGCATAAAGAGTACTGGTAACTTTGAAATTATCAGTATAATCTTAAATCTTGTAGCATGTGACAAACAAAGCAGAAATATAACAATCTTTCAGACAGAATATTTATGGTGTCCCCTTTTTAAAAACCACAGGAATGTGGTTTCCTATGAAATGGAAGTCAAATAATTTGATTTTCAGATTTCATTTTTTCCTCTCTCTTTGCTTAGTCTAACAAATATCTAGTAGTAGCTGAATATTATGAATATACATTGTGGAATACTTAATCATTACCAGAAAAACAACGGTTTATACTGCAAAACTATCAGTGAATGAGGACTCTATAGCAATAATAAAAAAAATTAAAAATAAATAAATTGGATTTTTAAAAGTGTTTTTAAACCATGAATACTTACAAAGGAACAAGACATCCTGGTTTCCTGCCATATTATTATTTATCAACTATTACTTAGATAATAATATAGGAATTGAAGCCCTCCCCTCTGTGACACCATGTTTTGGGTGTTTTATACTTTCAACAATTTATATTGTATGCAAAATATAAACTAATCTCCCAAATTATGATCGGATACAAATCAACTAAAGTTTCCATCAACACATCACTTAAAAAAAAAAGAATATGAATTTCTTTTCAAATGGTCCCTAAAGCGGGATTGAAAATATGAAATCAATATTGTCCATTGGGTTCATGAAGTTTGCCAGGCTCCTTGAATCAATGGAAATTCTTATTACAGATAGATAGATAGATAGATAGATAGATAGATAGATAGATAGATAGATAGATAGATAGATAGATAGATAGATGGATGGATGGATGGAAATAGATATTTCTCTATCATCTCTAGCTCTATCTCTCATCTATCTGGACAGATGTTATAAAGGAAAACCACAGCATCAGAGTCTTCTTTATTGATAAAGAACATTTCTGATTGTCATGTAAGCTCTCCAGGGGGAAAAACAGGTTGAGATAGGAAAAGAGAATTTCAGGTGGGCATTATGTTTAAAAGGATATAGCCTGATGCAGAAATTTAAACCCAGCACAGTCTAGCCCCGTGTTTCTTAACCTTGCCAACTTGGGGTTGTGTAGACTGCAACTGTCACAATTCCCCAGACTGACAGCATGCAGCTGGAGTGTTTAACCTCTCTATGCAATCTGACGAAGGGAGCTGCTAATTTGTTAATGGCAAAGGGGCTACTAGACTTTTTCCAAGTATAAACCAGTAATTTTAAGTACAAGGCATTTTAAAAATAAAAGCGTTCATTTAAAATACGAGCAGTTTGGGTTTTAATCAAAAAGCAAGTCAGCCCTAAACCTGATGCTAGCAGCAAGCCCTATCAAACAAATTATAATCAAACAGGGACAACCGTTTTATTTACAGAATGCTTTCTAACAGTGATAATAATAATTTAATACGATTAAACAACAACATCTGCCTACCCTGGGTTTTTTTTTGGGGGGGGGGGGTTTGGGAAGGATTCCATAAGCGAACAAAAATGCCAAATTCAATCGGATCATTTGGCTGACTGGGCAACCAACTAGAATAATTTATTAATCTTGTATGTTGCCCAACTTTAAATGATTCTCGGTGGCTCAAAACAATCAAACAAAGAAATTACAATAAAACCAATGTTATACTTAGCCACGGGGGCCCTGGCTCCATTATGTCTGAAGGTTGATGCCAGACACTTGGAACTGCGGATATTATTATTATTATTATTATTATTATTATTATTATTATTATTATTATTTAATCTTTAGTGAGATTCACAGCCTTTGAGGCTGGTTAATAGCTCAGCAGCTCGAGTCCTAACCAAGGACCTAGGAACTGTTAAGGTATCGTCGGAGGATGTAAGCTGTTTCGAGTAAGGTGGTTTTTTGTAGAGTCAAAATGTTCAAGTCCGGCAAATTTAGAATTTCTAAATAGCGGGGTAGCCCTTTGGATATTGCTCCAAGGGCTCCAATTACAATCGGAACAACACACAATTTCTTTTTCCACAGTCGCTCAACTTCAATTTGCAAGTCCCGGTACTTTGTGATTTTTTTCTTGCTGCTTATCTTCAATCCGTGCATCACTAGGAATTGCAATGTCAATGAACCATACTTTTTTTCTTTTCAACTATTGTTATGTCAGGTGTGTTGTGGACCAAGTGCCTGTCAGTCTGAATCCTTATTATTATTATTATTATTATTATTATTATTATTATTATTATTATTATTCAGTGTAAATCCTGTAATATTAATTAGTATCAATGCAATCCCAAATTGCATTAACAGAGGGATGCAATCAAGATCAAGGGAGGTACTAATAACACTCCATAAAGCCTTAGTAAGACCACACCTAGAGTACTGCATCCAGTTTTGATCACCACACTATACAAAAGATGTTGAGACTCTAGAAAGAGTGCAGAGAAAAGCAACCAAGATGATGAGGAGACTGGAGGCTAAAACATACAATGAACGGTTGCAAGTACTTGGCATGGCTAGTCTAGTGAAGAGAAGGACCAGGGGAGACATGATAGGAGTCTTCCAATTTCTGAGGGGCTGCGACAGAGAGGAGGGAGTCAAGCTATTTTCCAAAGCACCCAAAAGCCAGACAAGGAATAATGGATCAAGGAGAAGATTCAACTGAGCTGATCAAGGAGAGATTCAACCCAGAAATAAGGAGAAATTTTCTGACAGTGAGAACAATCCATGGAACAGAAGTTGCCTTTGGAAGTTGTGGGAGCTTCATCACTGGAAGCTTTCAAGAAGAGACCGGACTGCCAGAAATGGTGTAGGGTCTCCTGCTTGGGCAAGAAATTGGACTAGAAGACCTTCAAGGTCCCTTCCAACTCTGTTAATCTATTCATCTGTATCAAAGTATTTTTTCCCCAACAGCTATGCTCATCCAGATACCGGTAGCTCTTTTTTGAAGCTTCAAACCATCTCCATGGCAGCATTTTATGAGAGTGACCATGAAGCACTTGCAGAAAATTTCACACATTCCCACTCCAAGTTAACCTCCTCTGTTTTCCCAATGAAGAGAAGGGGGAAACCCTGCTACACTTAAACAAAATGGCAATGAATACTTGTTGCAATCAAATAGACCAGTGTCTCTCTCTCTCTGCCTTTGCCACTTTAAGATAGGTGGACTTGAATTCTGGGAGTTGAAGTCCACTCATCTTAAAGCGGACTTCACTTTAAAGTGGACTTCACCTCATCTTAAAGTGGACTTAAAACCTTTTGATGCGGGTGAAGGAAGAGAGTGCAAAAGCTGGCTTGAAACTCAACATTAAAAAAACTAAGATCATGGCTCCTGGCCCTCTCAATTCCTGGCAAATAGATGGGGAAGAAATGGAGGTAGTGACAGATTTTATTTTCCTGGGCTCCAAGATCACTGCAGATGGGGACTGCAGCAAGAAATTAAAAGATACTTGCTCCTGGGGAGGAAAGCTATGGCAAAGCTAGACAGTATACTAAAAAGCAGAGACATCACCCTGCCAACAAAAGTATGTATAGTTAAGGCTATGGTTTTCCCAGTTGCAATGTATGACTGTGAAAGTTGGACCATAAGGAAGGCTGAGCGCCAAAGAATTGAGGTCTTTGAACTATGATGCTGGAGAAGACTCCTGTGAGTCCCTTGGACTGTAAGGTGATCAAATCGGTCAGTCCTAGAGGAGATCAAACCTGACTGCTCTTTAGAAGGCCGGATCCTGAAGATTAAACTCAAATACTTTGGCCACCTAATGAGAAGGAAGGATTTGCTGGAGAAGAGCCTAATGCTGGGAAAGATTGAGGGCAAAAGAAGAAGGGGACGGCAGAGAACGAGGTGGCTGGATGGAGTCACTGAAGCAGTCAGCGTGAGCTTAAATGGACTCCATGGGATGGCAGAGGACAAGAAGGCCTGGAGGAACGTTGTCCACAGGGTCACGATGGATCAGACATGACTTCACAACTAACAGCAACAACATCTTAAAGTGACCATGGTTGAGAAACACTGATGTAGACAAAATCTGAGTCCACTGGTTGCAACTGACAATTTTCCAGTTGTGTCAAAAATTGACAATTGTTTCTGGGAAAGTGGACCAAGACAATAGAGAACTAAAAAGTTGTCAAAGGGAGGTTTGAAGGAGAGTGGGAAATGGACTTATCCCATTTAACTGGGGAACAATTCCATCTGGAGGTGTTTTTTTTTTTTTTGGAAGATACATTGGCTTTGGAGATTGGACTTATTGTATTCAATCAACCAGCAATTGATAAGTGAACTTTTTGAACTTTTTTCGAACTTTTACTGTCTGGCAGACAGTACAGGATAATAAAAACAAGGACAAATAGGCTGAAAAACAGCTTCTATCCCAAGGCAGTAACCATATTGAATTCTACTCTATAGTGCAATTCTAATGCAATATCAGGTTTTCAATTCAATTGTATGGAATGTGAAGGATGTGTGTTTGTGTTTGATTTTTATAGTTATAATGTACACTGAAGATGGCATTTAATTTCATTGCACGAGGTGCAATGACAATAAAGTAAACTTAATTTAAGAGTTGGTATCATGAAACAAATGAGTATGTTTGATCCAGGGCCAATCAAGGTAAATTTTCTGTGAGT